GATTACGTAGTCAAGGCGGCAGGCTTAAGTAAATGCAAAACTGAGCAGGCTTCGCAATTCAACAACCCCTGATTTCCCATCCTCCACTGGACTACAGGGTCTCGTCAGCGTTCGAGTGGGACTCGAGCTCAGGTCATCGACATCCATTAGCAACGTGCCCAGTTAGCATTCCTTGAAGGATTCATGTGATTTTTGACACATTGGCACTCGTGACTGTGCGGCCGAGTAGGGTTGGCTGTTGCTGCCCGACGCATACGACTCGTGAGTGCTGGTGATGAGTTCCATTCAAGGCGGAAAATACAGTCCATATGAGATGTATTCATACAATTTCGTTTAAGGTGATGAAAGACTGGTAGTAGAATTTTCCCACAATGATATGAGTAGAGCTGACGTTTCCATCCACTCTGGATGAGAACACCTTTTGGGAAGGCAAGGCTATGTAGAATTCAATATATGCGTCAGCTCTACTCATATTATTGTCGAAAAATTCAACTACCAGTCCATCATCAACTTAAACGAAATTGGGTGAATACATATCATATTACTGATTTACTGGTAGTCTCGAAACTCTACTTAAATACTTAAAATAAATACAGTCTAGACTGGAGCTTAACACTTTTTTGTAGCCAATTCTAAGTGAACTGCAATGGCAGCATGAGATTTTTCACCAATCTCTTTGAGAGGAATTTAATTATACAGCCCTTAAATCATTTTCCATGGTCTAAAAGGCCTCGAAGTTCTATAACTTACTGCTCCCTGCCCATTTGCCCTTTATTTATGCCAATCTTTACTAATTTAATTAATCAAACATGTAAGAATTAAGTGAGCAACGATGACCAAGCTTAAAAATGGATAGAAAATGAGCCTTATCCGAATGGAAAATTTTTGTTAACTCCAATTGGTTGGAGGGTGGTAATCGAGTTTTCATTAAAGACGATGTAGTTCAATTCGCACTGGTGAAGGAGCTCCCCCAAAGAGTCGCAGATTTGATGACCACTTCTTATTGACAGATCGGCATTTGTTCTGAATCTGATTGTGAACTTTTGTCGGCTGACCTTACTGCACTGAAGCAAATTCCCATCAATGGGCAACTTTTATGGTCTTGCGAAGATGGCAGTTAGTCATCGCGAAAACTGACCAAAGACTGCAGGAGTTGCTCCAATCTGCACGAGAATGGTCAACAGAGTCTGCACCGTGTCTCATTTTGCCGCGTACTTAGGTCGCTAGTTTGCCCGGCGAAAGCAATCGGATGAAACATACTCCCCGTTTTAGTATGTCAGTCCAACAACTTCCCGAAGGCAGCCGAGACAGGCGCTGCAACGCATCGACATGGCGGCTCAACCGGGAAATATTCAGCAACGTCTCATATCCAACTCTAGGCTCAAGATCAATCAGTGCAAGTCAAGACACTTCGTGGTGCCACGATTATAGTGTCCCAAATATGCGGAGTTTATACATCAGTTTAGATTTTCTTGGGAATTCGGAGTACATTTGCATATCTTTAAGAATGAAATGGTTGATAACAGTTCTCACTTCGAATCCCACAGAAGGTTGTTCGGTGCCGATATGCATCCGCTTCTAATGTTCCCTTATCGAATTGACAGCCCATTTGCTCTTAATTTATTGGCGAGAAGACTTTGCAATTTTTAAATGCCATACTTTCTCCAAGGACTTCCAGACTCGACCGAATACTCGCTGGCAGACCAACAAAGTGCCACTTGAAGGGGGCAACCATTGACGCGTATTATATTCTTGCTGCTGTCTCGATTTACTCAGGCATGCTGGTTCTGTTTCAGACTTTCAGAAGATTTCTAAGTCTCACTGCAACAACCTAACGTCTCCTGGGGCTGCTTTTTGCCGGTTCCATCCTTCGCTCTCTAGTATATCTTAACGAAGGTAACATTGTTGTGAAAACATTCATTTACTATTTAAGTCCATGATGAAGATATTCGTGTATACACAAACAAGCAGACACACACGCAGACACACACGCAGACACCATCGTTTATACGTAAATTAAGCGGACTTATCTGTATCAATTTATATCTACATTTTTATCGTTATGAATATGTATATATTACGAACGAAATCTCCCCCAATCTTCCCCTGAAACATTGTAGGATATCTCGCGAACGACATCAATATGGACGTCGTATTAAAGCCAAACTGCTGCAGTTCAACTCAAATCTGCCGACCTTTTCTGGTGAGAATGACCCACGGATCTATTCATCATGTGTTTCTATACGAAATGGAAGTCTTCACAATAATAGTCTGTTTCATTCTCCAGGCAAGGCACATTTGTGGCGAATTCCTTCTAGTAGCCGAAGTACAAGTGAAATTGCTTTTCTTTAGGCTGGGAGCACAGTTATCTTTTCTCCCACTTTCTTGTTGGAGAGATAAAATGCTTGACTTATGCTTGAAAATTCTCATTGAAAAGCGTCACTATACGAAATTCTCCTCTCTGTATAACTGCAAACCAAAAGTGGTGCATATCGACGTGTCACATGCCTTCTCTCTTTTTACTCGTTTCCGCTCATTCCTTAGGCTAGACGTCTTCGTCACTTTGATAGAGAGGCTAGGCCAAGTGCACTTCACCTTGCCTACGCATAACATCGTGGAGCATATTCACTGATAAGTCCTTGGATATGGAAAACTATATCGAAACCACTCGTACCGAATATGTCGCATTTGCCGGCTCTATCCAATCACTGTTGTCCATTTGTTGTGAATCTACTTTTGTCTGCGTTCACCTGCGCCTTAGGCATGTCGACAATCGGCCAGATTTAGCAGAATTGAGGTGCATTCAAGAATGCCTACTTCGACGGCGACCTCAGAAGCAGGAGACCTTTGAGATACCTATTGCGTGGGTGGTACATTCTGGAGACGTATGCAGAGCCAGTCTCGAGGCGGTGATTCAGCCTTTTATTCGTATAAGAGTAGGGTTTCGAGACTACCAGTACATACATCTCATTCAGCCTTTTCGCAGAAGTTTGCTCTCCTCTTAACCGTGCGCTCAACTCTCGCCCGAAAAATACCCTCGACCGAAGTAATGTTTGCAATGAATGCGCTTGTGAATGTGGATACATTTTAGCCAGTCAGACCATCGTTCAAGACTGGCCAAATGTCAGATGATCGAGTTGACTACCAGAAGTTGTCGTGCCTACGGCATCGATTTATCGACTTCGAACCTGGCGGTAGTAGAACGATAATTGCCGACAGTTGGCAGGCTGGAAAGGGCTGAGGAGAAAGCGTACAATAGGAGAACGGGGACGATACCGAAAGTGGAGAACACGAATGAGCATAATAATGAGAACAAGAGGGCAAAAGGTAGAGAGGCAGAGAACAATTGGGGAAATGATAGAGAAGAGGGGGAGTGAGGAAAGGCAGGAGAGGGGGACGAGAGAGGTGATATAGGCACAAGGCCGGAGGGGCGAAAGAAACCTGGACGCTTGCTTCGAGCTCGGAGGCTTGCAGAAGACGCTTCTCTAGATCAGCCAGCCTGAGCCCCAGAGTTGCTTTAACAAGCCAGCACGGACCCATTAATGGTATATGCGATAACTCTCTCTTCCTCTGTCTATCTGTGTCTGTGTCTGTGTCTATGTGTATGTCTGTATGTCTGTATGTATGTCAGACCAACTGACCGGTCCAGCTGAGGGTACGGATGAGACCTAGGAAAGGTCCAAACTGCAGTTCTATCATGAGTAGGGAGAGTACCTTTGTGGAAGCAAGGCTATTTGAAATTTAATTGAATCATGAGGTCTACTCATAGTATCATGGGAAAATTTAACCACCAGTCTCTCGTCCTCAAAAACAAAATGGAATGAATATGAGTCATATATATGATTTAATGGTAGTTTAATCTTAGGTTTGAAGACCAAGATAGTATGGCCTTTTGTATGGTTGCGGAATGCTTTCGTTATATAATAGTTGATGTCGTAACTTGGTCATATTGGCAGGAAGACTTAGAGGTACACACCTTGTTCGGAGTGCCAAGTGTGTTTAGTCATTTTCAGAGTCGGACCGTGGACTTGATGCATTCCCAGACGTCTAGATAGCACCACACTTTAACTCGTCAGGGAGACAAGTGAAGTCGATCCTCTGACTAATTGTATGCTAAACTGTTGTAGTACTTCTCCTTCTGTCCTGGGGTAGTCACCTCGTGTCATTTATTCATTATCACAATTTATTACTTGTTTATTTAAATGGGACATGGTGTGTCCTTTCGAGCAGACGTCATGGGACCTATTCACACCCCACGCTGTCTTTGTCATCCACCCCCCTATCATTGTGCTCCATTAATCCGCAATCCGCTTGCCCTAAGTCCTATTGGAATCTCCTTCTTGCCCTGTAGAATCTGTTCCTTATCGCCCCGTTTAAGTATTTCATATGCGAAGAAAAGTTGGGTTTTTTTTAGTTTTCTTGACTCGTTAACTTGAATTTGGTTGCGACAATGATGCCTTGCTCTGATGACGTTCTTCATATGACGGACGAAAGCTTAGCACCTTTTCACCGGAATCGAAGGAGA